CGCGCCCCAGCCTCCCCCTGGGCGCGCCCACGTCCTTCGGGCCAATGCCAGCGCCAGCGGGCCGAGCGTCCGAAAGCTGTCGTAGCAGCGGCTCCCGAGACGGCCCGGTGCAGGGCGAGGCGTCGCCACCCTCCTCTGCGAGGCCCTGCGCAAGGACACCCGAGGAGCCCAGCTTCCATCGCTGCACAGGCCGGGCTCCTCCGGGCGCGTCATGATGCTGACGGCGGCTGATGGTCACGGAGGGCAGCCGGGGACCAGGGGGGCCAGGCCCCTCGGCCAACAGCGGGCACGGTCACGTGTGACACGCGGGTTTAACCTGATGCAGGCTGGCCCAGCCTTGCTGCCCTAGAGACACCTCTCCGCCACCAAAAAAAAACGCCAGGCCGGCGGAGGAGCGGAGCAACTGGGTTTCGGTAAGACCCCGCCCCTTCCCAGAAAAGCCGTGAATCTCCCGCCCCCTCATTAGCCTCTCCCCCCACAAACCAAGGCCTAGAGCCTGCAAGTGGTCTCCCACTGAGTTGCACCCCTAGTCCTCTAAACATTTTGCTCAGCGGGGTTTGAATTTGAAACCTTCCTGCCTCAGCCTCCCCTCTCTCATTATTCTGTGACTCCCCAGCCTCCTGGATGGATAAGTTGATTCTGAGTTGGGCTCTGGCTTTTTCATTTCTTTTTTCTTTCTTTCTTTCTTTCTTTTTTTGGTAGTGGAAATCAAACTCAGGACCTTATGCTTGCCAGGCAGGTGCTGTGACACTGAGCTATATCCCCTATCCCCAGCCCCCTATTTTTTTGAAACAGAGGCTCACTATGCAGTTCAGGCTGGTCTTGAACTCAGTACTTATCCTGAGCTGGCCTCAAACTCATGACGATCCTCCTACCTCAGCCTCCGGAGTGCTGGGAGCAGCACAGACTACACTACCCTGCCTGGCCCAGGCTTCCCTTTTCTGTTGCTATTGTTCCGCCCTGTGCCCCTTGCCTGGGGGCTGACAGAGGCCTGCCTGGCAATAGGAGGCTGTTACTTTTGTACCATCTCTGATATTAACTTTTGAAAATCCCTATTGTTACTTTGGTTAATATACAGCTAAATATTACTTCATGGTGACCTCTGAGCCTCTTTAAACGTCTTTGACAAATTTCCAAAATAGGTTTCTTGCAACACTTGGGAGGCTGAGGCAAGAGATGAGTTTGAGAGCTACACAGTGAGACCCTTTCTCAAAAAAACCTAAATAGGGGGCCGGGGAGGTAGCTCAGGGCATAGCACCTGCCTGGCAAGTGCAAGGTCCTGAGTTCAATTCCTGGTACAAAAACTCCTAAATAAATAATAAATAAATAGGCTTCTTGACCCAACCTTAAATGCAAACTGACCTTGAAGTTTCCCAGCTGCTCCTGGAAAACCTTAAAGGATTTGTGCTGTCATCTTGCTACAAGAAAGCTGTTAAAGTAATTAGGTTTATATGAGATTAAATTACAGGAGCCAGATGGGGAGCTCACATCTGTATCCCTGCACTCTGGAGGGCAGAGGAAGGAGGTTGTAATTTGGAGCCCAGCCTGGGCAACTCAGTGAATCAGTGAGACCTGGATGGAAAAGAGAAAATAACAAAGGGCTGGGGATGGAGCTCCGTGCCAGGGCCCTGGGTTCTATCCGCAGTACAGGGGGATAAATCCCACAGGAATATCAAGCCCAGTAACAGCACAGGTTGGTCAGGAGCATGCAGGCAGTGTGAGCAGACGGCGTTCCTGGGCGCAGGGCTCTAAGGCCAGAGCAGGGGCTGTAGCAGGCACCTGTGGGCAGTGACCAGGACCAGGCTGGGCAGCGACCTGTCCCACGGTGCCCTCACAGTCACTCTTGTCACCAGCGGTCATTGATGGGGCCCTTCACCTTTATTATTTGTTCATTTAGTGTTTCTGTTTAGGGCCGGACACAAGTGACTCTATTTGATCTGCCAAAGTAGAGAGATTTAGCCTCCCCTGAGCCAGTGGTTTCTGAAGAGGCAAGGGGTCAGTGGTCCAGAAAGCAGCCAAGGTCCTGGAAGTGCGTGAGCGTCCCGTGGCATGTCCTTGTGTAATAGCACCAGGCCTAAGTCCAGGTCTTTTCTTGACTTTCTTGTTGTGTTTTGATTATGTGGTACCAGGGATTGTACCTCAGCAGGTAATGCCTTTGAGCCACACCTCATCTCTTTTAATCTTATTTACTTATTTATTTATTTTTGTCTTTTTAAGACAGGGCCTCACTACGCAGTTCAGGCTGGTCTTGAGCTCACTTTGTAGCCCAGGCTGGTCTCGAACTCACAATGACCC